AGAAAGACCAAAGAGGCAGAAAACTCAAATCTATAACTCCTATTTCTTTCTTGAGAATTTATTTTCCAATAAATACATTTTTTTACATGCTTGGAGGAATAATTTTTCATGTTTGTAATTATGTGAAAAAAAAAAAAAATGAAAGTGAGTGATTAAGATCTCTTTACTATATCAATGATAACAACAAAAAGCCATTAAAAGATGCAAAAATTCCTGAAAGAAAAATGTTAAAATAGAATGAAACATGCATTAGGAGAAGTCAAAGATAGGAATATGAAAGTCGCTTATAAGGGATAATTACGAAAAATTTCACTATATTTTATCAAAATGCCACATTCATCATGCTCTTGAAAATGTTACGACTATTAATGTGTTTCTAAATTCATGTTAAAAGCCTTAAAACTTTTCATAAGTGGCAAATTACTCATGTCTAATGCCAATTTGTTTCTAAAAAGTCAAAAATCAGACACCAAACTTTATGGGGAATTTCTCTAGCATTCTCTCTTTTTTGGGGATACTGATGTTCCATACTTATCAGCCGTGAGATTTATCTTAAATTTGGTCAAAAAAGTCAAATCATATTGAAAAAATAATACAAACCCGATGACTGATAAGTAAAGAACATTAATGTTTCTAAAAAAGAGGAAACACCAGAGAAATTCCTAACTTTATGACCAAATATTCTATTATATATATATATATGTGTGTGTGCGCGCGCGCGTGCCCGCGTGATTCTTAAAAAAGGAAAGAAAAATTTGAATATGAGTTTTTTTTGTGACAATACTTTGAGAATTTCTCTAGTGTTTTCTCTTTTTGGAAACACTAATGTTCCCTGCTTATCAGTCGTCAGATTTGTATCATTTTTTCATTTTGATTTGCTTTCGATAAGATTTAATACAAATTTGATGACTGATAAACAAAAAACACCGATGTTCTAAAAAAAAACACTAAAGAAAGTCCCCAGTACTTTAGGCTACCCCAAAAGATATGCATAAGCACCGGGTCATGAGTCTCAACCCATTGCCCCAAAGGTTGCCGAATCTTGTTTTGGCAGAATAGTCATGATTTTATGTAACTGTTGCAATCGGCACAAGGTTTTATAAGGGTCACCCAATTATTAGATGATTAGTTATACTATGTAATTATGGTAACTAGTAATTAAGTGTAATGGACAATCATCTCCTAAGTAACCAGGTAGATTATTGTAGTCGATGACTTAAGGTCACCATTGACTTTGAGGATAAACACGCTATAATACTGGTGACTTATGACTACTCGATAATTATGACAACTTAAAAAAGAGTACTCAAATAGTAAGGGTACTATGCTCTAACATAAAAATAAAGGAAAAAAAGGACAAAAACCTAAGAATTTTTTTATTTTATTTTATTTAGGAGCATAATTTTGTGGATATGAAGATAGGTATTCACTTATTTATATGAGAAAATTAAGAGGCATGACACAACTTTTATATGTCTTCCAATTTATGCCACAGTGTATTTACCGTTTGGACTTATACTATATGTTTTGTTGATTTGTGACCAGTCTATTTGTGATGGCACAACTCCGAAGTTTCAATATCTGCAAAGTTAATCTGAAGGTGAGAGTTCTTTTTGGCATTCCTCAAAGAGATATTTAGGCAATATATCATGATTTTTAAGGTTGGATTGACTTTTATCATGGGTACTAAAACTATTATAAAATATACCATAGTAACATTATTTAAATTTTATATATTGAGCACAATTATACTTATATTTTTGTGTATTTTATTCGATATCTTTAAATTTTATGAGAATTTATAATTTTTCATGCATATTTATAATTTTTATAGATTTTATTATTTTTAAGTATTTTTAACTGTGACTTCTTTACGATAATTTATATTTGTTAGTACATGTCAATTCAAGTTTTAGCCCTTCATCAAAATTTCTCTAAATCACTCATTTTAGAACAAAAAAGGGAGAAAGAGGAAAATAGGCTAAGACTTGAGATGAATTAAAATTAATAGGCCAATAATTTACATAAGTTAATAAATAGGCCAAATTACTATTATCGTCCATAACTAGTCTGGTTATGAACAATAACTTGACAAGTTATTGTTCATAACTTGTCTGGCTATGAACCATAACTTGACAAGTTTATCCATAACTTATCTAGTTATAAATCATAACTTGACAAGTTTTGACATATTAATTTCTATAACTAAAAATTAGTCTATATACTTTCTTAAACTTTTTATATTGACCTATTTTTTACTATTTCTCAACAAAAAATGAGGAAGACCATCAGATACTGATTTGGGCTATGGAGGACTTAAGGAAGCAAAGACATGTGGGCTATTTACTATGGGCTGGGCAAATGAATTGAGCCCAAGTTGATGATACCCGCGTGGCCGACTTAGCCAACCATTTTCATTTTAATGTGATACAGTGCTCTACATTCGATAATACAATAGTGGGGACAAATATTCTTCAAACATTCTATGCACAGGTCATTTATAAGAATAATTCCTCGTTCTCATGCAAGCATTTTTTTGTTCTCTCTCATGCTAAACAGAACAATTATTAAAAGAAAAAATAAATACTTGCTTTCAAACGTGATTCTCATGGTAGCATTTTTTTTTTAATCCTCCTCACAGGCCACAAATCCTATGCACATTTTTTTTTGGGTATAATCCTATACACATTCTCATTCATAAGAATAATTCCTTAGTGACGAATGTGTCTGCGATACCAATGTGAATAGGTGGATCCATCTTTCAATGATCCCTACACATTACCCAAAAGCCAATGGTTGCAAAAAAAGGGAAAAAAAAAGCCTTACCAAAATTGTGCCCAATTCATTTCAATTTTCATCATCAATTTGTCACTTACCTTTTGTTTTTAAATGATCATTGGTGTTCAGAACGAAAAATAAAAAAGAAAAATTCATTGGTATCGTATCGTCCCCTTATTCTAATCGCCCATCGAAGAAATTTTAGAGATCATTTAACGTTACAAAAAGCTATGTCTAAGTTTTTACTCACGATGAGTCCACGTATTTCGCGTTGTACAACTTATTAACCACACAAGCTCTTCTATAATTTGTCACTTTTTTTTTTTTTTAAATACAATGTGTGGCCTATGACTCATTTTATCAACAAAAAAAAATCATTAGAACTCAAACTTTAATAGACACAGGCACATATTCACGCATTACCACCTACTCGGTCACTATAAGGGGGCGTTTGGTATGCAGTAATCTTAAGGATAGGAATGAGAATCTGTAATATTACCATGTTTGGTACAAGAACTATAATATTAAGATTCCCAGGAAAGTGATTACCATGGGATTCACTTTCCCTCATTTTAAGGTAATCTGAATACCACCCAACATGGTGTTATTTAAATTCCTAAGAATCTCAAAATCATGGGAATCTTATTATAATAATAATAATTATTATTATATTTATAATAATAATAATAATAATAATAATTATTATTATTATTATAATTATTATTATTATTATTATTATTATTATTATTAAATCATGGCTTCAATGATGCCTCAAAAGTAGAAACAGTCATAACCTCTCATACACAATAACAATCCATGTTCATAAAAAATATATAATTGATAATTCATTGAA